ACTTTTACCGGCATGGTGTTCCTCTCGTCAAGACGCATCGAATGAACTATAACTGGACCTTGAAAGGTCAACTTGAAAATTTGACCTCAGGTCAAGGTCATGACCTGACCGGAAAGGGTCATGTTGCATATCAGGCGATCCGTATCATCGAGCTGAACACATCTAAGGCGTTTTCATCGCTCTAGCATGCCTCTATCAAAAGTTATTTGCGAAAAACTGTTAGATACCATTCGTGACCTAAGATGACCTCAGGGCATAAACAGGGGTCACGGACACCATTTTCATGTTCAGTGTGACTAAACCACTTGTAATTCAGTGTTTGGGAGTGTTTATAATGTCTTTCGTCCAAAAGAGGCGCATTTCAATTTTCTCCCATCGACTTATAATGGGGAGGTCGCAAAATTGACCTGACCTTAGGTCATCGATATCAAAATTCTGAGATAAACATTTTGTACATGCTATTGCTCTTAGCAATCGCTGAAAGTTTCAAAGCCATCAGTCACTCGGTGTAACTATGACAGACATTGAAACTTTTTATGAGGTGAGGTCACTTCAAGTGACCTGGTGACCTGACCTTGAATGACCTTGGTCTGAAATTTTCACAACATGTGTAGAATTGATGTATGATAAGGTGTACCAGAAACGGCGGCGCTCCGCGCCGCCGTTTTTGAGATATTCGCGAAAAACCACAAGGGGGGTGTTCAAACACCCCCCCAGCAGGGCGCGGGTTAAGTCAATGGGGAAAAAATGAAAACTGCTATTCTGGCGCCGGGAACGACCTCCAACTATCTCAAGCACACAGAATCGTGATTTGACGCACTCCTTGCAAGGTTAGATGCGTCACTTTTGCAATGCTGACCTTTTGTGACGTAATTTATGACGTCATCAGGGTCATATTAGTTTTTCGTCAATATCTCCCGATCACATTGAGCTAGCGAGTCGGGAAAGCCAACAATGGATTCAGGAAGACCAGCCAAATCGAATGATATGCAACATGACCTCCTTCGACCAATTGCGTGACCTAGGGGCGCTGATCTGACCGTGACCTGAGGTCAACAGCAACACCCTAAGCTGACCTCATCCAAACAAAAAGTATAGCATTCGACGCGCCTGAGCGAAGCGAACACGATGCTGCCAAAATCGCGGCTCTGCGGCTTTTTTGCGAAGTTATTCACCAAAAATGGAGCCGTACCTTGGAGCTTTTGACCTGACCTCAGAGGTCACCGGTTGACCTAGGACCTTAAAATCGGGTATCAATCTCTATGTCTTGTAACGCGCGCACACGCTCGTTTCTTCCGCGACGCGCTAGCTCCACCAGGGGCGAAACGGCGAGGGGGTCGTACCCCCTCGGTGGCCAGAATGGCGCTTGGGTTGGGGGGGGGTGTCTCCTCAATCAATCTCAAGAATAAATCGAAATTCAAATGGGTTATCTTAAAAATGGTGAAATTTGGAAAAGGGTATTTGTTTACAAATTTTATCAAAGACTCGGAAAATTCCAATTTTACACAAAAAAAAACGTCTGCATTTTATCAAAGGTGGATCTAGGAAAGCAGATTGGCTTGTACGTAATTGACAGCTTAGTAATATGTGTTCATTTACAGAGCTTCTACACTCTGCATGGAAGACTCCCAGGGCGGAGGTGAACCGCCGGGTGTCTATGTGGCTTTCCGGTGCCAGGGACCGGAGGAGCGGCCCCGAACCCGCCCGGAAGAAGCGGGCGGTGGAAGCGAGAGCAAGGCCGGCTGAGCCTGAAACGGCGAGCCCTGAGAGGCCTCAAGAGGCTTCGGAGGCTGACGGAGTGGAGGTGGAAGTGGGCTTTCACGAGTATTGAAGGCAACACTGCAGACGTGCGCGTTTGTTTAGCGCGTCACATGTTTGATAAGTGTAATGAAGTCTGTGTAGTGTTTTATGTAGTGTGTTAGTGTCGTGTATTGATGTAGCTTGTTAGTGTGTTAGTGTAGTGTTAGTATAGTGTTAGTGCAGTGTGTTAGTGTAGTGTGTTAGTGTAGTATGTTATTGTAATGTATTAACCCTCGCCCCGTTGGGGGGGCCATTTTGGCCCCCCCCCCTGTGGTTTTTCCTGAATAGCAAGAAAACGGCGGCGCGCAGCGCCGCCAAATTTTCAGTACCTTCCCGGGCATCAATTTGACACCTTCACACCAAATTTCAAGTCTTAGGTCACCTTAGGTCAGGAGTTATTGAGGTCAAACTGAGGTCATGTTCGAGCAAAAATGAGCAAAAAACATGCAATCTTGAAACGCTCACCAAATCTACAGTTATCAAGCAATTTCAAAGTTCTTTATATGGTCTAGTAGACAAAAAGCGGCGCTACAAAACTGCTATCTCGGATTTTCAAAATTTTTGGTTTTTGACCAAAAAAATTCAAAAAATTGATTTTTTTAGAAAAACTTTAAAAAATCCAAAATTTTCCGAATTTCGAAAAAACCGGAATATATGTTATAGTCCCAGCACTCTTCTATATACATACCAAATTTCAGATCGATGTCTCGTTTTTTGGCCAAGTTATAGCGAAAAAACTGTTCAAAAATGATGACGTCAAATTTTTGAACTCAATTTTTAGCAATTCTAGACCACGTACGGCAAAACAAAGACCACCATTGAACTCCCCGTGACGAGCTGCATCGATTCGATACCCATTTTGTGCAAAAATATTAACTTTGAAATTTGACCTAATTTGACCTGACCTTGACCTGACCTTGACCTGACCTTGACCAAAACGTGATCTAAAATGGCCCCAAAGGCTGCCTGACCCATATAATCGCATTTGTCATGTAAAATGGACCATAAAACATGTATCACACGACACTTTCATATTGTGACCCCCCCGTGACCTGACCTCTGTGACCTGACCTGGTATCAGTGACCTCAAATAGCAAAATATGTGTTTGAAGAACATTTCCCCATCGATGATTTTCAATGAAATGCATTTTACTCGATTTTACAACGCATTTCTTGAAGTGCCTGTAAACGGTGAAAATTGGACCTTTGACCTGACCTGTGACGTCATCGGTTTGACCTAGGTCAATAAAATTGGGTCACAAGGTAGTTTCCCGTTGGGGCTATCCAACGCCGTTTACCGCTTGTCGCTATGTTGCGTGGTTCTCGAGATCTTAGGGGGGGCCAAAATGGCCCCCCCCCCAACCGGGCGCGTTGCTCGGCAGAGCCCAACGGGGCGCGGGTTAATGTAGTGTGTTTAGTGAATGCAGTTAGCGTTGGGTGCTGAAATAAAAGTCGTTTGATTATTTTTTAATTTACTAATGGTATGAAGAGGTGGTCGGGCAATCGCATACAGGATGGAGCACTACGGTTGGAAAGCTTCTTTTCGTGGAAAGAAGGGAATATTCAGGCCGTAGTAGGATTTTTACTGCGTTTTTACGTCCCACGAAGACTGGGGGAGGGGGAGGGGTTCCGACCGTTCGCGGGGAAGGCCGGGGATACCCCGGTCGGGATCGTGCATTCCGCTGTGATGCAACGCACAAGGTATGGGGATGGCGCGGGAAATTCAGACCGTTCGCTTGGGGAAGGCCGGGGATACCCCGGTCGGGATCGTGCCTTCCGCTGTGCTGCAACGCACGACAAGGTATGGGGATGGCGCGGGAATTTCCGACCGTTCGCTTGGGGAAGGCCAGCTATACCCCGGTCGGGATCGTGCGTTTTGCCGTACTGAAACGCCATTGGAGGATTGGGGGTCGATCGGGATGTTCCAGCCGGTCGGTTGGGGAACGCTAGGGGATCGTTCAAGAAACGATTGGGAGATCCCCAACGATTTGTCACAGTTCCCAAGCGAAATACTGGGATTTCCTAGGCGATCACGTGGGGAAAACCTGGGATGTTGCGACCACCGAGTCTTACTGAGGTTTCTCTTTTCTCAGGTCTTGCACTGACAGACATGTATAAATATTAACTGTGTGTGCTTGAACTGACAAGCTGGCATGATGAGATGGCATGCTGAGACTGCTATGCTGAGACTGGCATGAACTGGGAGCGGAAACTTCGGTAACGCTTTACTTTGCATATGATCTACTTTTTCATATGTTTGCTTATCATTGGTTGTTGCCATCTTCATTTTCTCTTTGTCTGTCAATGGTCATCGCTCATTAACTTCTGTGTTATTGACTGTGTTATGTGCTGTCTCTGCCTGCAGAAACCCCACTTTGCTGCATGCGCGCAAGGCTGTGTTTTGTGCCATTCCTTCTGTTTCTATCTTTTTCCTTTGTTTGCCCTTCAATGTATCCTTTCCTTTACGTCTTTCATTTTTGTGTACAATAAAGCGTTCAACGTACAGAAGCATGTGGGAGTACAAAGACCGCTACATGGGGTAACCCGCTTGGGATCAGAGCGAAATTGCTGACTGGGGTGGTTCGGCTCTGCGCACCATGGCTTTCCTTACACTTGCAAGAAATTGGCGAGTGTGGTGTGGCGTAATACGAATGTGTCACCCATAGAACATGTATGTATATGGCAACGTGCCTTCGCGGGAATAAGTTAAGCCTCAAATTTTGATTTAAGCTCAAGGCCATACGTGAAAAGGTGTTTGGAAATGGCAGGTAGTGGCGCCGAGTTTAGCGTGTCACTGATGCTGTCAGCGTCAGCTACAAATGGTGCCCGTGTCCGTGTGTCCGACATCACTATCCGGAGCATCACAGTTGCAGGCTGCAGCACTGCCTGGCACATTTTTCCAGGGATATGGTCAAATAGACAGCGCTCCAACCGGATCCAGGGCGTGAGCGATTTTTCCGTTTGGGTATTTTTTTGGCGCTGCTTAAGCGTCACGAAACCTTTTGTGCTCGACAAGTGGGCAGGGCGGCCTTGAAGCGAACAGATTTGTATATCAGCCGCGCCGTTTCGTGTGTTCGTGGCATACCTCTGCTGGAAGGAAATATCAGTACAGTTCAAGAATGTATTGCGAATGTAAAAATGTAAAGGGAACGCTGTCAGTGAACTTGAAGAATGAAGCCCGTTCAGAAACACGCCTCCAGTACAGTTCAAATTTCTTTACTCCCTATGCATAACGCGAGAAAATACGTTCTCGCCCATTATGACTTCGGGAAATCCGGCACAAGAAGGTATCATTTTCCATCACCAGCTGCCGGCATCAGGCGCTGGCCGAGCTGGCAGCTGAGTGGAGCCCGGCGGGGCGCTGTCCGGCACAGCGGCGGCTAGTCGTCGGGCGGCGGCTCGCACACGAAGGCCATGCGCCGGTCGCAGGCCACGTCGTGCCAGGTGATGCCGTCGCCGAAGGCGTTGTTGAGCACGGCCAGGCAGTGCTCGTCGCCGCCGGCGTTGTCGGGCTGTCCGCGGCCGACGGCGCCCGTTCGGGACCAGCCCTTGAAGCGGCTGTAGCTGACCGGCTCGCCCAGGCCCCAGTAGAAGTCGTACTGGCTGCGCGCGCCGGACGTCCACACCCCGTCCACCTCTGCGGCCAAGCGGCAGGCCCGGTCAGTGAGGCACACAGCGATACCCAGTCAGTGGCGAGAACATAAATGAACACTTCTCTGGTCGAATTATTATGCTTGCTGATGTCAAGGGCTTAGCAATGGCTGATGTTAGAGGCTGAACAATCATTGTAAGTCAGGAAGTTATCAACGACACGAAAAATGACTATATTAGGGAATAACTGATCGTCCACTGCCGGCTGTGCTGTGTGTTTGATGTTTGTACTCACTGAGCACTCCCATGAGGCGGGCGACTTTGAAGTGTTTGCGGTCGTCCTGCAGCGAGGCCAGCGTCATGCCATGGAAGTTGCAGATGGCCTCGCTCTGCTGCCAGCTGAACCGACGACTGGCCAGCAGCGGGTCCAGGAACGAGTAGAACATCCCGTAGTGGCCTGCAGCAAGCAGCAAAGCGCACCACCCCTTCATCAATGGCAGCGAATAGCCGCCCATGGTCCAGTGGTCATCGCTTCCTTGAAACCTCCACACACCAAGCTTCTTTTGGAAGTAAGGAAGGGACTACCACAAGCGTTAACATGATCAGGCGTTCCGTTTGTTCTTAGTAGCACCATGTAAGCGTGTCAATGAAGTGACGCAATGATAAGGAAAATAGCATCCCTGGAGATATTATCACGAAGTACGAGTACATTCATGCAAATAGTTTCCGCTACAGGAATGCACCTCACGAAACAGGGTAAAAGTGTCAGCACAAGGCACATGTCAATAACGGAGTGTCGAGTGTCTTACGTAATGCTTAAAGTTGAAAAGAAGTATCTAACTAAGATCTCGTCCGTATTGGCGTGCTGCTAGCCACTAACGTATGGGGGACCCGCTTGACCCGAAATCGGACCCGCTTGAGCTTCTTAAAATGAGGCTGTTTTGAGTTTATTATGGCGGTCCTGTTTTCTAATTTCATATTAGATTTGATCGAAGATGATGCAATCATGCATTTGGAGTTGATCGGGTCAGGTCAGTTCACCCCAAACGTAAGTCGTTTCCGCCATTGAATGTACTAGTAGAATGTATAGAATGTACTAGTATTAAATACCGTCCACCACTGACAGCTTCGTAACTTTATCATTGATGCATATAGTTACACTAAAACTAATGCTAAAATCCTGACATTTGGTTCTTGTTTCGATAAATGCTAAAATAGAACACTACCCTGAGAAGTTGCTAACTCAAACAAGTGAGCCAATGTCATCTAAAGTCAATAATCATGACCTGGCCTTTATAAGACCTTGACACCCACCATAACGCATGTGACAAACATCATGTTGGGACTGTTGGCACGTTTCTAATCACAAACAATATGGAAACGCATGGATAATGTGCGCTGACATAGGCTTCACATAGCCTTCACATAGGCTTCACATAGCCATAGGTAGATATGTACGTACGAAGTACAAACGCCGAATCGCCATTCTGGTCTGACGGAGTCTCGAGAAACAGGTCATGGGTTAAAGGTCATTTGGGTTAGGATCATGACATTTTGGGGTATGTGTTAGTTACATTGATTAATGCAAGGGTACTGCAAGGTTTGGTGCGATCGGCCACTTTTTACGACTTTGTTGCGAAAACCAAGAGGGGTGTATCCGACCCCATATGTGTAAGTGTGAGGGGTAAATACAAAAGGTGACGAGAAAATAGCAAGCGTCCCTTACACACGAGATAACAGGGCGGAGGGACTCACGAACCGGCCGACTGATTGACTAATCGACAGTTGAATATACTCAGACTGACAGACTGGCAGCTTCACAGAGTGGCACACTGGAATACTGCTGACATTTGCCAGACTGACATATTGACAGGCTGTCCAACTGACAGGCTGACAGACTGAGCGACAAACGGACCGCCGCGCCGGTAGGGATGTGGCTGCTTACCGTTGCTGGCGGATTTCGGCGCGGTGCGAGGCTTCTCGGGTTTTCCCCGTTCAAAGACCACCTTTCCGTCATCGAGCTTCCAGCGCTGGCCGTGGCCGGGCTGGGCGCCGAGCGTGGCGACCAGCACCACGGCAGAGAGCAGCACCGACGCCTGCATCTGCTGGCTCAGCGGGGGACACCGCAGTCGGCGCTCAGACATAGCCGCCCTCCCCGCATCGAGCAGCGGCGGCCGGGACCACCAGACATCGAGACACAGCAGACATGAGACACACCAGATATCGAGACACAGCCTGCCGCCCTCCCCGCATCGAGCAGCGGCGGCCGGGACCACCAGACATCGAGACACAGCCTGCCGCCCTCCCCGCATCGAGCAGCGGCGGCCGGGACCACCAGACATCGAGACACAGCCTGCCGCCCTCCCCGCATCGAGCAGCGGCGGCCGGGACCACCAGACATCGAGACACAGCCTGCCGCCCTCCCCGCATCGAGCAGCGGCGGCCGGGACCACCAGACATCGAGACACAGCCTGCCGCGCCGCACATCAGACATCGAGACGCAGCCTGCCGCGCGGCGGCAGTCCACGCAGTTCACCATTCAGAGGCCTAACGAGCAGTGGTCTGCATGCGCGAACAAGGACAATGCCATAACAGCATCGATCGTGTGCATACAATATTTTGAGCAGTAACTTTTTGACACTTTCCATTAGATGCTGTTTCGACTCTGCTTTATTTGTAAGCTTTTGTCCTGCTGAGAAGCAGCAAGCAATGTGACGTTAAAGGCCAAGGCTCAGGTTTAAGGTAAAAGGCTAAGGAAAGATTAACCCTCGCCGTGCCGGTGGCCTGAGTTCTGCGTGTCGTGCTGGGGGGGGGGGGGGGGGGTCACGCCCCTCCGTCTAACTCACCTCCTGGGTCTCGTAGCGACACGCGGTAAGCGGCAATCGAAAGAGCGTCTAAAATAATGGCAGAGCTACTTCTCATTTTAAAGGTCAGGTCAAAGGTCAGGTCACCAGAGGTCATAGGTCAAATTTTGTCCATTTCAACAAGTTTGGAAACTGCCAACGGCTAACTCGGGAACCAATAGAGCTACAGCGCCGGGGAAAAGCGCATTCGATAGCCCTTTTACAGACCTTTCTTAGTGTTGTTTTTAGATTTGACCTCAGGTCAACGGTGTAGCATCCAGAGGAATAAAAAATAAAAAATAGCATTAAAAAATAGTCGACCCCAGCTGTGACTCCGCTGCGCTGTACACAGTCGATGCCCAGCTGTGTGAGCTGACCAGGCGCTCAGCGGGTGAGCCGAGGCGGGCGGGCGGTGAGCTGCTGAGCCCAGCCGGGCGTCTCACCTGGACGGGTGTAGCGGCTGGGGCCGCGGGCCGCCCTGCTGCCGTGCCGGAGACCTGGCCGAGACTGTCGGCGCGCCCTGCCGACACACTGCCAGCCGCCCAGCTGGCCGTCATCGGCGATTTTTACCGCTCGCCCAGCGCCGCGGTGGCCATTGTTCGGTCGGGGAAGGTAGCTGACCAGGAATCGGGCGCCCGTCGCCGCCGTCGGCCGCCTCACGCGATCCCCCTGCTGACCACTTTCGACGGCGCTCCATATGGGCCGCCAAGGCCGCCTGACACGCTGTGTTTCCCCTTGCGAACACACAAGGGCCGGAAGGGACGATCACACCGCCACGGTCAGCCCCGCTCAGAGAACGGGCACCCAACGGCACGCACTCACACACAGGCACATACCGTTTCTTTACACCTATTTCTTCGCAATTACGGTTCACATTACACAACTTGGCTCCTGAGCCACGTATGTCGGACATGTGTTTGTGTAATCGGTCAAAGACATGTGTTTGCATAATCGCAAACACATGTCTTTATGTGATCGAAACTGAATCTTTCTACAGGGTGTCCCAGAAGTCTTGAAGCCATTTCGGTCACGTGTTACTCACACGTGTACGCATAACAATAAATAAAACTTGGACTTGTATAATGTACATGAATCAAAGTGTCGGATGCATGTGATTTGCGCCAGGTTGACATTTGTCTTAGCTCCATAATACCGCGTCGAATCAAAGGAATGAAATGGGCTGTTTCTTATCGCGCTCGAGCAGTTGAAATGGAAGCGTGAAAACAGCCCCAAGAAAACTTTCCAATAAGTAAAACATTATGTTGCTAGCGCACCCACGGGGGTGCGCTAGCAACGTTATTTAATGGTCCGCTTCGGGGAATAAGACTCTGAAGCTGACAAGAAACGGGCATGGCGACAACGGTGCATCGCAAATCGGGAGAACATGGAGGCGGCCAAGGGCGTGCTATCTCGCGCTCGTTCTTGAGTAACTCACAACGGGGCCACTTGACTGACGTGATGCTATACGCATGGAAATACAAAACTTAAGTTCATTTTCTTTCGTTTGAGGTATCATTTGTCAGATTCGGTGGCATAGCACGGTCACACGACAGAAATCAAAAAGCTTCAAGACTTCTGGGTATAGTTGAGGTTTATTTGCCATTGGGTCTACAGTGCATGGATAATTTTATCTGTTGTGTTGTGTTGTGTTGTCCCTCCAAGGCTCTGGTGAGCTGTAGCCTAACGGCTCTGGAGGTACCTGGCGACCCTCGCCAGGGCCGTCACCGCGTCGTCCCGTCGCACGTCGCTCAGGCTCGGGAAGATGGTGCTGAAGATGCGGAGCCGGGCGTTCATCAGTGCCGCGCACCGCAAAAGGACATGGTCCGGGGTGTCGGCCTCTTCGCCGCAGTATCTGCGCCCCACTTCTTACCAGCTATACATTTAAGTATGTTTATACGTCTTTCGCAGCGTTGGGCTATATCTTCGAAGTGTTTATTGAATGTGAGTTTATTGTCTAGAGTGACTTCCAAATATTTAAATTGGTTTACATATTCAATTCAATAGGTATGTTGTTTATCTGTAGTCTAGGGGGGTTAGTAAAACGGCTTCTAGGGGGAGCGAATATCATTGCCACTGTTTTAATTGGGGACACCGACACGGTAAGTCCCCATTTGGCGCATTACTTTCTAACGTCATCAAGTGCTATGTTCATGTAAGCATACGCCGTTTGTACAAATGAGTCAGTCTCCTAGACGGCTATGTCATCGGCATATATTGAAAATTTAAGTTTAGTATTATGTGTTTCTATTATATCATCAATCATTACTAGGAAAAGGGTCGGGGACAACACACTGCCTTGTGGTAGCCCGTGCTCCTGTCGAAAAGGAGGTGAATATGTGTTGCCGCATCTTACGTTAAAAGTTCGGTTGCTCAGAAAGTTTGTAATGTATGAGGCCATTCTGCCCCGTAATCCTTTTTATGAAGTTTTATTTGGAGGGCAATTTTATTTACTTTATCGAATGCGTTTTGGAGATCAATAAAGACAGCAACGGTATATTTTCTTGTTTGAAAACCACGTTGGATATCATCTACGATGTATGTTATATTGTCTCAAGTTGATCGGCCGTTACGAAAGCCATTTTGAAACGGAGAGAGAACGGAGTTCGTTTCTAGGTAAGCCCTAATTCGCCCATTGACCATACGTTCCATTATTTTAGAGGCACAACTAATTAGAGAGATAGGACGATAGCTAGATGGGTTAGAAGGGGGTTTTCTGGGCTTTAGGATGGGTATAAGGGTGCTGGTGCGCCAGGGTTCTGGGTAGCTGTTGTTCTCCCATAGAGAGTTTAGGCAAGTCAAAAAGGTATTGAGACCGGATTCAGTCAGATTTTTGAAAAAGGAGTAAGAAATCTAATCCGGTCCTACTGATGTGTTGCCACACCACGAGATGGCATGTGTAAGTTCGTGGTTCATAAATGGTGTGTTGTACAGTTCGCGCAGTAATCTACAGTAATCTAGAGTAATCTACATTTGTTAAAATCGGGGCTTTGGTTTTGTGTAGAGAGAGAGAGAGAGAGAGAGAGAGAGAGAGAGAGAGAGAGAGAGAGAGAGAGAGAGAGAGAGAGAGAGAGAGAGAGAGAGAGAGAGAGAGAGAGAGAGAGAGAGAGAGAGAGAGAGAGAGAGAGAGAGAGAGAGAGAGAGAGAGAGAGAGAGAGAGAGAGAGAGAGAGAGAGAGAGAGAGAGAGAGAGAGAGAGAGAGAGAGAGAGAGAGAGAGAGAGAGAGAGAGAGAGAGAGAGAGAGAGAGAGAGAGAGAGAGAGAGAGAGAGAGAGAGAGAGAGAGAGAGAGAGAGAGAGAGAGAGAGAGAGAGAGAGAGAGAGAGAGAGAGAGAGAGAGAGAGAGAGAGAGAGAGAGAGAGAGAGAGAGAGAGAGAGAGAGAGAGAGAGAGAGAGAGAGAGAGAGAGAGAGAGAGAGAGAGAGAGAGAGAGAGAGAGAGAGAGAGAGAGAGAGAGAGAGAGAGAGAGAGAGAGAGAGAGAGAGAGAGAGAGAGAGAGAGAGAGAGAGAGAGAGAGAGAGAGAGAGAGAGAGAGAGAGAGAGAGAGAGAGAGAGAGAGAGAGAGAGAGAGAGAGAGAGAGAGAGAGAGAGAGAGAGAGAGAGAGAGAGAGAGAGAGAGAGAGAGAGAGAGAGAGAGAGAGAGAGAGAGAGAGAGAGAGAGAGAGAGAGAGAGAGAGAGAGAGAGAGAGAGAGAGACCTTATTTACAGACCCGTGGTCCACAAAGGGGAATGAAGGGGATATTCACACTTTACACATGGGTACAACAATGACAGTCACCAGCCAAAGAGAGCTCACCACAACTTCCTCATAGATGATGTGCATGCCAAGTCACTATGATATAACGTGGATATGATACGATTTTCTAACATGCTTATTCGAGACAAAAAATTCCACACCGATTTGCGGCGAGCCGCGTCATAGCCATCTAAATTCTGTTGAGCAAACATGTCCGAGGCACTGCAATATCGATGTAAACTAGATCATAAAGTTTACTATAGTTTTGTGTAAAACCTGGTGGCTGAAGAAAATAGTGATTTTGCTAAAATGATGTGCGGAAATTTGTTGCTTTCCAAATCAACTTACTCATACCTATATTTCATTCAAAATTAGGAGGCATTATTACTGTTTTTCTTGTAACATGAACTGAGTTTGGGTACAGTGCTCCGGAAACGTTGTGGAACTTAAAGCTAGCTAGAGCAGTTTCCATAAAAATTGTTGATAGTTGACATGGCTTGTTGACAACAGTTTTGCTGTTTCTAAAAAAGTGAAAAATATTTTCCTGCATTAAGCAGACAAGGCATGTTATTCTCATAAGCTATCGAATGTGTGTGCGTGTGTTTTTTTAGGCTGTCAGTTGTAACTTCAGTTACTTCACTTTAGAACATATTGCCCAGAATGCGTCACTGATCATGAGCTGGTATATCATATCATATGTAGCAAATAGATAAATGAGAATAGTGTGTCATGAATTTTTGTTCATGTTTCCGGATCATCTGTAATAACATCAAAGGCTCGGCTCTAGAGTGTCCTGCCGACCAGCTTATGCCCAACCCTTTCTGTCCGCAGAACGTCTTCCGTCGCCTGCGACTCCCGCACGCCGTTTGCGCCCCGGCCGTCCGTACCGGTCTTCGCGCTGCGAGCCGCGCTGCTGGAGTTCGCGCACTGAAAACAAATCGACACAGTTAGGGCATGTTCTGTACTGGTAACACATCAGTCATGTGTTAATCGCACCCAAAACACAATAAGGCTGTGTATTTTCACGCTTGGCGGGCCCTTCGACACGTTTGATAACACATAAAACAGAATAATGACACAATTTTATCGTGCCAAGCACGCTGGACGAATGTAATGCATCAGTGTATCGAAATCATGTGTTGTCGGATATGGTAGATGTGTACCCTTGCACAAATACACCGTGCCATCCACCAGTGAGCGACCTCTGAACCTTAACTTCAGATGGGGATAATAGAGGGCGTTTTTCGAGCACCTACTTTTATGCTGGGTTTTTGTAAAAAATTGCCAAAGTGTTTCGAGAAAGGTCAAAATGCACAATACAGCCGAGGGAGTCGATACATGATAAATTGTCTAGAGCAATATGCGCTGATTACATCAAGTGCAAGCTGAAGCATGGCTAATTAACGTCTGTTTGGAGGGAGAAACTCCTCGGTCTATATAGGATATATTTGAAAAATTGGTGGCTGGAAATTTACCCGGCTTTCTGGATGACTGTATTGTACATAAAGTAGTCCTCCAATTTGGGGCATCGCCATTTGGTGCACTAATTGAGCCGTCCACGTGACGCGTTCACCCTTCGGCTCTGAAGTGGCCGACCGGGCGCAGCTCCAGCTCGTGTATGGGTCGGCGGCCTCGTATGGGTCGGCCGCCCGCGTGCTCAGCCCTGACCGCGCCCTGACCTATGGGTCGGCCGGCCGGGTACTCAGCTCTGACCGCACCCGAGCGCCCGATTCCACTCGGGGCCCGGCTTTGGCAGTCAGCATGTCCGGCTAAAGCCAAAGTCCCTTCAACTGCGCCCCGGCAACAAACTACATAATCACCACGTGTTTCCTTCTTTCACTTGCGATTTGTGTTAAATTTAGTAACACATTTACCTTGTATTCTGCAAATGTATTCACACAAGCCTTATGTGTTGAAGACACAATGATATTGTGTTTTAGGACACAACACGACTGGGTTAACACATTTGTAAATTGACACGTCTGCGACGGGTCAAAAAATGCA